ATCATTTTGTGACTCCAGATAAGATCCAGTTCAGACTTCTGTCAAAGACACCCATTCTTGTTCACTTCAAAGATCACAGTTGTTGCATCTCACAATTTCATCAGTTTCGTAGACTCTAGTTTATAGTTTCATTTATTATCCAACTTATGTATAGATGAGAAACACATTTTCCTTACCAGCATGTTGAAATAACTTGGTTCATCCTGAGATCGATAACTTTAAGTGAATCTTCTCTAGTAGAGCTTAGCAACATAGTCCTATCCGGTGACAGGTCAAGAGATGTCACCCTACCTTGCAGTGTAATCTCATTACCACATGTGTCAGACCTGCAAAGTACACAAATGACGGTCATTATAGTTTGACTAATCATATTTTTATTGGTGAATACTGTAGTGTAAATGGCCTATGTATTGCCATAGGCTCCTGACTGGAGCCGGAGATCTGATCCTTCTGGGAAGTGACATCAAGTACAGCACCGCTAACTTCATCTTAGGAAAATCAACCAGGATTCTTGTTACAGGCTCATCCAAGCCTATATCATATATCTCTAATGTCTCAGCTCAGACTCAGCTATAGAGACACCTATCACTTTAATACACAAAGCTCCACACTGTCAATAAAGCAAATATTTTTCAAACATTTTGAGAATGAAACTTGACTGATTCCCTAAGAATACATATAGAAGGTTTCTGTTTGCACCAAGTTTCAATTAATTTATCAGAAGACTGCAAATTACTCATTCTAACAATGTATCTGGCTATGGTGAAGAATCCTTTTAAAATTTTCTTTTTTATGGCAAACTGGATACAGATTTCTCCCAAAATCTAATAGGTTGGTCAATATCTCAAGGGAAACCACTCCAAAGAAAATTAGTGCCCAACTTTTTGAGTTGGCTTTTTCACAGACAAATAAATCAACATGAAAAAACATAACCTCCTTGGTGTTACCCGGGACCAACATATTACAACATACGGTATGTGATCATTAATTCAAACAAGGGGGAAATATGTATAACCATATCTGTAAAATTGTGTTGAATTTTTATGATTCAGCCATCTTGGATTAAGTTGTTATAATAAAATGTCATAAAATGAGAAACTATGACTGTCAAAGTGAAAGTTAGTTTTATGAAGAAAAGATTGAAGCTTGTGTTTTACCTGGTATCAAAAAACCTAACTTTTTTATCAAAGTGACCACTGATAATAGTGGAACCGGCAGCTTCACTGGTAACCAAGTCATTGCAGCTTGATCCAGCAAAAATAGTCCTTATACCTGAAAGACAAAATCAAATTTAGGCAAATTGATTTTCTCACTGAAATAAATTTGATCAAAGTACTTGACATGAATTGGCATCACATAATTTCACATATAATCACACATTTCATTACAGACCATTTATGATCTCAGATATGCTGTCATATTGTTACATTGCACCCGAATCACAGGGTTGACTTACACGCTTTGCTTCTCAAATCCCAGACTTTCAACGTTCTATCGTGACTGCCAGACACCACCTTTGAAGCATCACCAAAGAATTTAGCAGCCAATACTTTGCCACTATGACCCGTTAGCGTATGCTGTAATAAATTAAAGAGAAATAATTACCTTGCAATGATGAATAATGGTTAATAGATCAATTAGGAAATAAAGAATGACACACTGCCCATTATTGGCAGTTATAAATCACCACTATCACTATTACAGGTTTTTATGACATCATAACTTTACATTATCATACAATAATGTAAACCTCTATTCACAACAACAACAAGCCTCCAAATTTAATCAAATTTGTTTAATTCTGATGATGGTGATTTATAACAACAACAAGTCATTGAAAATTTGTGATCTGATTATTGAAACAAACTGGTATGTATGATGTATGTGCCAAATACGAATGAAAATGGTACATAAATCTTGGAAATATAATAGTAAGGTCAAAATGTCAAATGGCTGTCAATCGGCCATCCTTGACGCAAATTTGAAACAAATTGTCATGGACATGTATCCTAACATGTATAAAGTATGTGCCAAATTTGAATGAAAACTGACAAAGCATGTCTAAGATACCACATTTAAAAAAACAAACAAGATGCCTGCCAGGCCATCTTTGATCCAATTGCAAAAGAAATTGTCATGGAACATGTATAATCTATGTACCAAATTTGAATGAAAACTGACAAAGCAAGTCCAAAATACAACATTTTCATAAAAACAAGATGGCTGGCAGTCGGCCATTTTGAATCAAATCGCTAAACCACTGCATGTGCATGTGTCCCACAAAAAGTACTAGGAACATGCAAAGAATGAACAGAATCGTTCCAAAGAATTCTGAAATATGACCCCGGACGGACTGGTGGATGGACGCACAAAGACCGAATTATAAGTCCCCGTTTTCAAACTTCGTTCGAACAGGGACTAATAATGAATCCCCCATAGCATAATATTGTAAATGAAGTAGGGTCGCATCTCCTGACTCATTATTTTGCCATAAACCGTTCTTCTCATCTAATGTGGCACTTTGGAAACCCATTAATGTTTAAATAACATGACTATGGAGAGTCTATGGAGACTAGAGAATGTACATTTCAATATACAGCATCAGACATTATTAAAGACATTCAGTAGGTGCCATAGAAAGTGTTTTGTTCACAACAACAAATATGCAAAATAATGAAAGCACTTATCATTCATTCACCTATCAACCCATTTCAATAACCATGGCAACAATAGATGTGTATTTTGTACAAAAAAACTAAATACAAGATTGTAAAAACTATATGTTTCAATTCCTGTATGATAATTTAATATGCAAACAAAACTACTTTTGTAACAGTATAGTTTTTTCATTTTCTACAAAAAAAATCAGCTGGCTCGAAGTAATATATTCAAAAAGATGCATTTGTAATAAACATAAGAGTTTCAGACAATGTTCAACAAATATTTGTAATTGCCATGTGTGAGAATCATTAATAGAGATGATTACAGAGGACATGAGGCAATTGATGAAATAGATGGATGTCTAGCTACTCATTGTAACACAAGAACACAACGATAACAAAAGTTACCTATGACTGCCATGTCAAGTTCTCTTTCATCATGTACACATAATTTTAGTTGATACCAATTTGCTTACCCTAAGTCTGTGATCTGCTATACTCCATACTCGACTAGCAAAGTCATTGGATGCCCCCAATACATGGTGCTCTTGACTGTCAAAGTCCACACACATGACACCAGCATTACTACCCATTAACGAACCTTTTAAAATCAGTTGCCCTGTAGCATAATCAACATAATTATCATTAGTAGATCCTGGGAGAGGAGGGTTCACACAAAGATGAGAGTACTGTAAATAGTGTTTTTTTCTTTTGTTTTACTAAGTAAAATCAAAGAAAGCTTAGAAAGAACTCCTGTGTGCTGAGAGTATTGGAGACACATTAAAATTAATTCAAAATTTACGATTTGCTTTTCAAATAAGAAGCTTGGCAACTAATTTTTGTTTGCTATTTGAGATGCAAAACATAAAAAAAAATGTGATTCACATTATCAAAATTTATAATACATACAGAAATACATTTGATTTTTCATCCATGATTTTTTAATGTAATTAGTTCCAGAGCACCTCTGCGATGAATTGGGCTAATAATAATAATCAATATGCATGTTTATCAACATTAAACTAATCATGTCTGTGGATTATCTAAATGAACCAAATGAATTATTATACAAATTAAGCAATTATGATGCATAGATTTAGGTCTGTATATTGTTTCAGGGTGCACATGTACAAAATTTCATTATAATGTGATCATTAATCCTAAACTAAATTAGTGGAAAGCTGAAAAAAAAATTATAATGCAAATTAGGTTATAGATGTATATAAACCTAAAACTAATTTGATCATCACATTGTATTAGAGTACACATATACCAAGATTCACTAAATTAAGATAAGTACTGTTACAGACCATCTATGTACAAAGTTTCATTGAAATGTGAATAGAACTAAATATTATGATTTATTATACAAATTAGGTAATTAATATTATCTGATTTTAACCCAAAATTGAGCGGGCCTGTGCATTGTTCTGGAGCGTCAATGTACCTAGTTTTAATGAAATGGAATTGGCTAACTGCTTGGGTTTTGACTAAACAGTTGGCTTTCGAATCACGCTGGCACCGACTCGTGGTCGTGTTCACTCTGAGCTAGCCTATATTGCATTAGGGGACATAGAATGTTTTTACGTATGTAGCCAGGTACTTGCTTTGCAAGGCATAATAATGTACAAGTAGTTTTCCTGGTTTGGTCTGACAAGAGCCACACTCAATTGACTTACAAGCAATAATATGACAAGCGATTAATCCACCGATATTTACTATATACATGTATATGGGGGTAGCCATCTTGAACACTGATTGAAACTAAATAAAGAGACAAGGGAGAAAACAAACTTTCACATCCAAACGATTCGTTCGGGTAACATTAAGCCAACCGCTAATAAAATTCGACATCACTTCATAACACGAAGAACACAGAACACTTTCCCTGGTACATTTGAAAGTGAAATCGCTATCTAATTGTAAGGCCGTCACTGGCTAGCTTCTACCAGGGTCCCTACTGTTATATAGATTCACTCAAAGTGGGCGTGACCACAAGACGACGCCAGCGAGATTCGAAAGCCAAAAGTTTAGTCAAAACCAAAGCAGTTAGCCAATTCGCTAGCAAGTTTGCAAATTGGCTGCCCCAATATTTCTGAGACTTGCTATAAAACTTATTTCGAATACAGTAATTGCATTTGAAAACTGGCATGCCTAGTTTACACAGTTCTTACCATTTCCATACTCCCATAATTTAATTTTCCTATCCGCACCACCTGTAGCACATATCCTTCCTGACAATGTAAATCTAACGGCATTCACTTCACCGTCATGTGCATCCTACAAAATAAAAAAGAATTTCACAATTTAAAGTTTTTACATTTTAAATTTACATATAACCAGTTTTTTTTTGTTTCAAAAAACAAACATGTTTGAATAACTTAATCAATACCTAATTGGTTAATTACTAAATATATTGTCATGACAATCTAAAGCAGGGATGCTATTGTAAAATAATTAATTTTCACTGGTATTTATTTTCACTGTTTTGATATTTGATTAATCTCATTTGGATTTCAAATTAACAATTTTTCAGTGAAACAATAAATTGTAATTTACATGTTCATATGTAATAGTAACAAAATTAAAACTCAGTGAATAATTAATGTGTTTACAGTAACCAATGATGCAAGTACAAGTCAAGTTTGCTGAGTTTTCTACAATATCCATTTACCTTGTGTTCCACACCATGTATCAGAAATAAGGTAGATCCATAAACCATCAAGGAACATATCAAGTACAGGATTATGCAATTTAGTGTGAACTACTACATTACGTTGAAGATGCTGACCTTTCATAGTAAGTCTCAGAAGTGTTGAGGCAACAAGTTGGCAAACTAGCTTGTAAATTGACCAACAACTTGAATTTTGATTAAACTGTAGGATTTCCTAACTAGCTGGGGCTGATTGTTGGTCATGCCAAATCTATATTGCAACAGTGTTTTCGCATGATTTACACAACAATGTCTACTAATCATTTCTGGACCATGTGTGTTTTGAGAGTACAAGCACAGTTTCAGTTACAATTTACATCACCTCCAATTCAAGTGTATCGCTATGGATACATGCATGTATTATTTTGTTTAAAGTTACCATATATGGTCTGTGATGATCTTGAATTCAACAAATTGCTAGTACAGTGTAACACTGCCTTAATACATGCAATGTTTGTTATATACACAACAAACTCACTCATCTCTCTGCGCCTATATTGTGTCACTTAGTCGACACATGTAACAGAAACATGAAGCAGTATTGGCTGATGTGACCCAAGAACTTTCGGCAAGATAAAGTACTGTGGATAACATTACAGATGCGTTGCTTTCGCTCATCTGGAGCTTAGTCTCTGAGCTTATTTTCACAGCAAAACTTTAGTACTGGCATATTGGTATGCCTATCACAGTGACAACCTTACGTTTAAATGTATATGTGCTGGGACTTTATGTAATATTCTTTCAGCCTTGGTCTAATTTGACCAAGACTCTATATAAATGTATGATATGTGTTGTTTTGAAAAGCCATTCATTCATACTACTTTTATATTACATTGGTAAGAATATTTATGGATAAATCTCATTTGTCAGCCTTATCATTTTAAATTTTGAAGATTCATTTAACATATGCGATGAGAGAAAGAGATGAAAGAAGAGAGCACAGAAAATGATTTCACGATAAACAAACATGACCAGTTTTTAGTGACTGTCAGTGTTAGTACCAAAAAATCATTTACAGGCATGATACAAAGAAGAACAAGTTTATTTCTTCCTTTATTCTGCCCATGACATTCGTAATTCATGTCTAACACAAAAATGATGGTCAGCCATCTTGAATCAGATTCTGAAACAGATACATGTGTATTAAATGAGTTACATGATGTATGTGTAAAGTTTGAACATATGGTTTTAAAGTCAGCAGTTTTGGATCAAATCTGGAAAAACAAATACCGTGCATCAAAGCCCTGTTATGTTTAATGCACATACCAAGTTTGAAAGAAATGTGTCCATGCTTAACATTGATGAATTGTTAGTACTAAAATGATCACCAGTCAACCATTTTCAATTACCGGTATGTTCAATGGAGATACCAAGTTTGAAATATGTCCATATATGACTGAGATCCCATTCCAGAATTGCAAAAATGCTTGATTTCGATGAATTTTTAGCAATATAATTGAACTGGACTTGAAACAAATGCATGTGCATATGTAGGATATTATGTGAAATGTGTTTGTGTGAAGTTTGAATGATTTATTTCAGGCATGTCTAAGATACAGGTGCGGACAGACAGACACACGGACAGACAGACATGCACAGAGGTTAAATTATAAGGCTATTTCCGAAAAAGAAACTAAAAAGTGTTTACACTATCTTTCCTTTACCAGATCTTGACTCATTTTGTAATAACAATTTTAATTTTATTCATGTTTGATCACTTAGCTTAAATAGCAAAAGCAACACTTAAAATAGGGTTATTGCCAGGGTAAGCATGGACAGCATTTGAGACAAGCCTCACACCTCACATCACGATATTGTCTTCGTGCCAATATTCGCATTTCACGTCTAGCAGTTAACAGATTTTACCACCTCCTCCCTGAAAACAATAAAGAACATCTCTTCTTGGAGTAAAAAAAAAAGTACTTCAAATTTACTTAACTTTTTTTTATGAGTATGAAGAGAGATACTTACAAATTTATAATGTGCATGTGTTGGAATGATAGCCTGGTAACAGATTTGCATCGACTGCGAACCAGAGCGTTGAGGTCTAATTCTGTAAATTTCAAACAGCGTATAAATTAATTTTTAAGAAAACTCAGACATCCTAATCTCTCATTAGTGTACTAAAATAACACATGTGACCTTCATATTTTGTTTGATTGACATCAGTCTAAGTAAGTCACAGAAATGATTGAAAACATAGCAAAACCAAAATTACCAATAAATAAATAAGTAATTCACAGATGTCCATCAGTAACATGCATGGTGTTCATACAATGTTTGAGTAAAATAAACTACAAGGAAATAAAAACTTGACTTCTTTGTTAATTCAGGTCTTTGTATATTACCAGGACCTGGGTTTGTTTCAGTATCACCACTATAATTCCCATCAAAATGGTAATGGTACAACCCATCTGTCACTGATTCAGATCAAGGTTATGACCAGGTCATGACATTACTAAAAACTCTAGCATTACAATCTAAGCTAATTATTTATTCTGAGCATGCTCAGTTGTTCGCTCAGTGCAGTAGGGAGAGGTAATTTTGGATGAAAATCATGAAAAAGACCCACTTAGGATTTTCAGATCTGCATATTCAACAGAAACTTGTTCATCAACCTGCCAAGTTTCATCGATATCTGCTGCAGAGATTCTGAGAAAATGTTGGAGACATAAAGGGGGTGGGACGGAAGGAAACCAGAAATAAAAAATAATAGTCTTTCAGGGGACTAAAAACAGTTCAATCACATATAAGAAATTACATTATGGTACATGCAGAGACCTTGAATTATCTTTAAAGAAATCTCTAATAATAATGAGTAACCAGGAAAAAACAGTTGCAAACAAAAGTCACATGTACTTACTTTGGTTGTTTAATATCAACATGAGTTTCAGCAGCTTCCTTTAGGTCTTGTTTTAGTTTTGCTCGTTGTTTTTTGTGGTATTCCTCATTGTCAAAATTTAAAAATTCTGCCTGTTTGCCTTTTAATTCCATCCACCTAGTTATTAATTCAGTGTTCTCCTCCTTTGCAACTCGTAATTTTTCCTCTGCTGATGTGCATGCAAGTTGTAATGCCTGATGTTCATCTCGCAGCAGCTGAAAAAAACACAAAAAATTGTGATTCCTCAATTCTGCTTTAAAGAATGTCACTCAAAAGAATTGCCATTAAAGTCACTTCAGATGTTAAAATTTATTATTGTGAGTACTGTGCAAATTATGCAAGAAAACAGTAATAATGGTTTCAGACTTCTTGCAGTAATCCTATACTTATAACAACAAGGATGCTGTAATTTTTTACATGTATCAAGAACAGGAACAGCACACTGGTCTGACAGTTTTATGTCTCCTCAGTCTGCAAACAATATTATCAATCCTGAATTTTCATTGCATGAACATATAATCTATAACTTAAGGATGTATGCTACAAAATAAAAAACCCATGGAAAATCGTTTAAAATACTACAGGTGTACAGGACATGTTACTCTAAACTCATAGAAAAGAAAAAAACATGGGGTTAATGTACTAATTTTTAAGATACACAACTCACAATTATGCTGAGTCAGCATTTTTAAGTAGCTTTAATAAATAACTTAAGTTGTCATTTATACTCGGTCTTAATCCACATTTTTACTGAAATTGGTTTTATCCTATCAGCACA